AAAAAGCAGGGCCACGTGAATCCTGTTGCTGGCAGAAACAGGAGAAAAAGTGTAACGCACTAATCCAACCCGCTGGTAGATACTTCTACAGAAGCCTGGCCAGGACAGCGGCCAGAAGGCTTGCCCACAGCAGTCGGGAGCTGCCCGCGGGCACTTGCGCAGATCCCAGCCCCACCAGTCAACATAACCAGTGAGGTGTTGCAGAACATACACATGTCAAGACTTGTGCTGGCAGAAGAGGATAAACCCTGCTTTAAAATCAAACGGCTGAAGACGGACGTGAGCTGCCTCCGCAGAAGACCGGAAATGAGGCGAAAGCTGTGATATGTTGTGCTGCGTCCTCTAAAAACAGCAAGGAAATTCATGCTGCAGTTGGTGAGAAACAAGGGCGAGCACTAAGGACGATCTCAGATAAGGCAGAACGTGGAGTAACATCTAAAGGAAGGATTTTTTAAAGAGTAATTTTTATTGAAAATTTTTAACAATAAAAAAAGATAATAAAAATAGGATTAAAAGAAAAAAGAGAGAAAAGAAAAATAGAAAGGAAAAATAGAAAGTGCAGAAAGTAAAAGAGAACAGAAAGAAAAAGAAAAAAAGAATTTTTTTTTAAAGAAGTGCCTTCCAATCTTCTTTACAGCAGTTACAGACTTAATATCACTCCTCCCAATTTGAAATTACATTGCATAGATCATTACTTCCAACCCTTTTCAATTGGCAAGTCCAAAAATAATTAACTCAGTTCTATCCATTTTCAGCAAAAAGTCCATAAAGGGTTTCCAGTATTTTGTAAAAGTACTTATTATTTTAGCCTTGATCAAACAAGTCAATTTTGTATTTTTTTTTCTTACGCAGCATTCCGGCATTGTTAATCCTTAACCTGACATTAAGATGTTGTCGTAGGACCTCATCTCCATCCCCATCTTCTTCCTCCCATCCTAAAATTTTTTTAAGGCTTCAACAGCCCTCTCTTTACTGTTTTCACCAAGTTGTTCTATAAGTATAGTGTTTTTGGTCTCAAACAGGATTCTTTCTCTTGTAAATCCAGTGATAGTCCAGTAATAGTTTGGTCTAATGGTTAAAGCACCAGGCTCAAAAGCAGGAGATGGTGAGTTTTGGTTCCACCTTGGGCATGAAAGCCGGCTGGGAGACTTTGGGACAGTCCCTCTCTCTCAGCCCAACTCACCTCATGGGGGGTTGTTGTGGGGAAAATAGGAGGAAGGAGGAGCATTAGGGATGTTCACTGCCTTGAGTTATTTATAAAAATAAGAAAGGTGGGATAAAAAATTAAAAAAAAAATCTACATAATTTGTCTTGACTTAATATTTGTATTTCCTCTCTGTTATTTGTTTTGCTTTCCAAAATTTCCACCTTGACTTTGTTTCACCTCTCCACTCAGTTGTCCTGCAGATTCTTCAGAGTTATTTTTCATTTCTTCTTTCAGGTCTCTTTTAATGATGCATCTACATAAGCAGTTATTATAGCTGTAACATTCTTTCCCGATTCCTCAAAGATCCTTTGGACTGTCTCAAGTGTAATACCTTTTCCTGTCATTTCTGTAAGTTTCACTACTTTTCTAGTAACAACCATTTCAATCAAGAAAGGGGAAATAAAAGTAAACGAAGAGCTTTTGCTTTTTCTTTTAATCCCTTTTCTCTAGATCATTAAGTTTTTAGTGCCACTCAACACTCTGTAGTTCTGTAGTCAGATGGTCTCTAGCAACTTTCCCTTATCTTTCATTTTGCAAAGCTAACCAATTGTTGTCTCCAATTAATCCAAAAAACTCTTTTTCACTGAGATATACATTAATTGTTTAATTGTTTCAAAAATACTTTAAAGTCAGTAATTCCAAATTCAATTGTCCCCTTAGTTTTAAATTTTCTTAGTTTAAACTTTTGGCAAGCTTTTTGCCTTTAATTATTTAAAAATCTTTTAAATTTTTTCTTTGCTCTTATCTTTAATCTTGGATGAAAGGTCACTCACCGGGTGGCTAGATTGCTCTGCTGCTCCGAAGATCTCTTTAATTTTAAGATAATTGTCTTCCAAATGTGTTTAAGAAAGTGGGCTTTTTTGCAAACCCAGTGTTCTTAGACAGGCTGTGCTGCAGCTATGAGCTCGTGGTCTCTTCTGCTCAGACTCCTGGGACACCTGCAAAATCTCTTTGGACCTTGCGCGAGTCCTTGCGAGAAGCAGCTTTTCGCAGCACAAGTCCTTATCCAGAAAGGTGTCACTAACCCAGGTTTAACGCCTGGCCGCTGGTCTTGGCTGCAGCTTCATCTCCGCTGTCCGCCATTTTCCCCCCACCAGGAACCATCTAATTGCGGAAACGCAGATGCAAACTTCAAGAGTTTTCACAGATGTTAGATCTTAGTAAAAAGTTACAGAAGGTATGCCTATAATTTCAATTAGTGCAAAAGTATCTTGGCCTAGCTCTGGAAGAAAGGGAAAGAAAATAGAAAATAGAAAAAAAAGGAGTGGGGTGGGGGGGAGAGAAATGTTCAGTTGAGCAGCAAGGAGGGAGGGTCTACCTTGAACAGCAAAATCCTAAATCCTGGAATTAGCAAGGGCCTTCTTGTCTCTTTCTTTGTTGAGGTTAGTAAACTAAAATTAAAACAAAAATTAAAATTCTCATTTCAAGATAGCCATCCATATTTGGGAAATGATTTTTAAGATGTCAGTCAGAAAGAAGATTGGTGAAAACTGCTTCTCCTTCCCTTTCTGAATTAAGGAGAGGGGAAAGAACGAGGAGATGCTTTAAGATGTGAGAAACAGAATCTCTCCATCTGAAAAAAGGGGATTTCCCGGGGCGATTAAGTTCAGGAACATGGACTTCCCACATCACTGTGTCATGCAGGCCAGCTTCCTTCTGCTCTGCCTTTTCCTCCTGCAAAAAAGGTCAACCAGAGGAGAACAAAGAAGTGCGATGCCACATCCCTGCCCCAGCTGGGTGTTCTAATGCCGTGCAATGCAGGCACCTTGGATACAGATGCAAAGAAGCCCCCTCCCCATTTATACAGCAATATTTATAAGGCAACCAATGCATATTTATAAGACATTTATAAGGCAACCAACAGATCAGTGTTTGGCTGATCTGAAAAAAAGCAGACCCTGCACATGTGGGAAAAATGCTAGGAAGAAAAAAAACGATAAGGCGAGAAGCAATGACTAAGAGAACTGCTGGCGGTGGAATTCTCCATCCTGCCCTGAAAGTACCACGTTCCCTGGCCTGCAGACACACAGACACGCACCCACCCAGATCAGAGCTGGCTGTCCAACTGCCTCCCTTTCTCCTCTCCCATCCTTTCTGGATCCTGTCATTAGGCGGTGGGATGGGGTCGTTCAGAGCTGCCACCTGGTGGGGGCGCTGTAGAACCGCTTCCTCGCCGACGGGACGCAGCCTGCTGAGCTCCAAGGCCCCCTCCCGGCCTTGATTCTGTTTGCACAGAAAGTGTGGGAGGCCCACGGGCCCCAGCTTGCCAGTCCTTGCCTTAGAGGGAGGAGGTCAGGCTTCTCAGTTTATTTTAGAATGGAAACAGGAAAAACGTATTTTCAGGCATCAACTGAAATTAAAATGCAGCAGATTTACATTTATGAGCAAAGGTGTTGGTAGACCTCTTGTGTTAGAGAAAGTGCTCAAGATGACGTACACGCCAAACACCACGTCAGTCCTCTCCGCACAACGTGCTTCCGAAATTCCCGCGGTGACACTGGCAATACCCGAAATCTCATGTCTGCACAAGACCTGAGCAAAGAAACCCGACGAAGCAGAAACTCTCTGCCCACAAGACAGCTCGTGGCTTCACGGGGAAGAAGGAACCAAGCCTCTGCTTCCCCTGGATGCGGGGGCCTCTTCTTGGCTCAGCGCGCCACGCCTGGCCCTTGGAGCCAAGCCAGTCCACCCACTGCGGGAGGGGGGCAGCGGCACCGCAACCCTTGCCATGCTCCCTGTTCTTGCCCGAGGGCGGCCGCTGGCCCAGCCCGGGCCAAGCAGGGCGCGCAGCGTCGGCGGGTCTCCAGCTGCCTCGCGACCTCCCCTTGCCCTCACACGCGGCCGAGGGAGGGGGGGTACTTACTCGGGACGAGGGGCTTCCTCTCTCCACGGAACCTGGGTGTAACTCAGCCCTCGATGCTACCGGTGTGACATCTGGCGGGGCTGGAAGCAGGGCGCTCTCCCGGGTGACTAACAAAATCTACTGTCGTCACCGACGGCGATGGGGAAATACTGTTGAGGACGCTGATTGGCTTGTGAATAGCCAATGGCCTGCATCCCTTGACTTGCTTGCTAAGATACAGGCACCCCTCCCAGGAATCTACCAATGTCTGGTTAAGGTTGTTGGTCACATGAGCACCTTCCTCCAAAAGGGGGGT